AATGATCAACCGTGTCTCCCAAGTTCCATTATCTGTTCTGATTGGCAATATGTGTAATGCTCATATTGATACATGCTTAAAGTTTGCTGACAATATCCTATCTGATTGCACCTATCCTCTACACACTGACTTGTGTGCATGTAAATCCCACCCCTGCACCCGTTCCAAGTACAAACTTATTCCGTCTCGCATATCCGCATACAGAAACTCTTTGGTACCCTATCTTGCCCGGATACTGACCGACAAGGAAAGTGTTCGCTCTGAGCTTTCTAATACATTTGGTAATTAACTCATACCTTTGTACGTTTCCACATCCCACTTTTTCCCCTGTTTTTACCAGAATTGTAACGGTGGTCTATTTTTTGGCTGAAAGCTTGTATATATATAACTCGCTAAAGCTTGAATACAATACAATACAATACAATTTGAAGCAGCTCTCTGGATCACGCAGTTGCTCCTTTTTGGATGGTCAGAAGTTAAATCGTTGATTTACAAATGCTTCTGAATTAATTTCATCACCACCTCCACCTCTATTAGAAAGGACCAATCTGTCACCCCGTTTGAAGTTTTATATGTACTGGAGGCCCTCAAATCTAACAAGGCACATGGCTCTGGTTCTTTGTCCCCCTCCGTGCTAAAAGAGCGTGCTAAGCAAATTGATTCACCTTTTTCCGAGTCCTTCTTAACCGGTTGACCCTTTTATCTGCTACCCATGACCGTATTCAGTTTGCTTACAAACGTTCGCTTTCCACGCTTGATGCGTTGCTCACGTTGTTCACTCCATCTCACCCTTATTGGATAAAGGGGCTGGTATCGTCCACTTAACTTTTCTTGATTATGCCAGTGCTTTTGGATCACTTGAAGGCGGGATTATCATTCGACCTCTTCCGGATTGTGATATGCCACCTGATCTGTTGGATATACTATTTAATTACTTGTCATATGGAACGCAACTCACTTTTTGTAACGGTAAATCTCCCCCCCCCCTTTGATAGAGGTTAAATCTGGGGATTTTCAGGGTGCTATTTTGTCTCCATTTAGTTTTTCTTTCACTGTACATTACCAGTCTTCCCATCCCTCGCAACTTTATCACGTGCAAGGATGCGGATGACGTAGTGGTCGATTGTCCCTCGACTGATCCTGACAGTTTCCGCCAAAATCAACGTTATGTGAATCAAATGTTTAGTTGGTATACGCCGCGATCTTTGATACCCGATGTCGATATATGTGTAGATATTTTTTTTAGTCTTAATACAGACACTCATTACCAAACCCTTCTAAGTGAACAGCTTGAACTTGCTTTTAACGATAATATCATCATCAAAGCTGATTCTGTCAAATATCTTCAAGTGACTTTGTCAAATAACCTTTCTTGGTCCAAACATGTTGAAAACATTTACATTGGGGATTCATAGATTGCTCTTTCGTGCGTTTAGACTTAAATAGCTCGGTGTTCCCCTAAATGTAATTCTTTAATTTGTGACAGCCTACATTCTTCTGCACTGTGCTGTAGTGTTCCTCGGTACGTTTTTTCCGATCTGAAGAAGAAAGACTTTGTTCTGTTTTCCCAGATCTCTTAAACTTTTTCCCTTCTTGCAATGGCATTTCCCAGACTGTTATGTTGATTACATTTTGTGCAAACATTTTGATTCATGCGATGATATATTTATCAGTCATAGACTGTGTAAATGCGGAACACTGCCTGCACGCCCATCTCATTGAATCTGTGTCCCATCGGAGTACGCGTTCCAAATTTAGTACTCCTTGTGCACTTGCCGCCGAAACAGTTTCATCCCTTATTCCTCTCGCATCTTGGTCAGCCGAGCAAATATTGTTACTGACTTGGAAAATCAACTATCACATTAGGACTTGATCCCATCCATTTGATTTTAATTCAGTAAATGGTGCATGCATTTTCCCCAATGTTTCACTTTTTTATCCACTGTAACTTGTCGAAAGAGCTGGAAATTAATCCTATTTGGTGCATAAAGCTAACATCACTGGACCTGTGCTTGACTTGTACTAACAATACTCTATTTGATTGCACTCATCCGTTACACATGGGCCTGTGTGCATGCAAATCCTACTCTCCGCCCACCCGTTCCAAATACAAACACATCTCATTTGCCCACGGAAATCCTTTTGTATTCTATCCAACCCGTATTCTGACTTTCGTTTGGAATTTTGTAATGCATTTAGTAGTTAATTCAGATTTTTGCACGCTCGATGTCTCACTTTTTCTCCCTCTTTTTAGTTTTGTAACCGCAACCACTTTTGTGGGCTGAAAGCTTGTATATAACTCGCTAAAGCATCAGTACAATATAATACACATCATTATGTGATTCGACCTCTAAATAGCTTCTGTCACGAAACTCTGTTTATATGTACATATAATCACGAGAAGTTTGTGTGAAAAAGTAAATTAACACCTTTTTCAAATTTACAGCTCTCGCACAAGACAGCTTGTGTCTTCACGATTGCGTGCCATTTGTTGGTAAACGAGTGAACAACAAATGCCAGATAAATTTGCTCAAAATCAGATCCCGTTTGTTTCCAGATTCTTTTTGATCGATCGAATCTTGGTTGTTTTGATTGGATTGATCAACCAACCAACTAACCGGCGGCGTCGGTGTCAGGGACCGATCGGTACGGTGAGATTAGACGCTTCACACGCATCCATTCTGGGGACTGGAATTGAGAAGCATCTATTTTCGTTGAACCGACCACTCTTCCCTATCTTCATTTATCATATCACTAAGTGCCTTCGAATGTCTGTAGTAAGTCTGCTCTATTTCTTTTCTTCACCCCCCACCAGTGGGAACCCCCCGGGGAACGTGTGTTCGAATTCCACCATCATCGCCGCTTCCCACTTTCTAAAAATTGTCTTTGTATATTCACTAAGAAGANTTAGACGCTTCACACGCATCCATTCTGGGGATTGGAA